GGATCCGTCTTCGACGCCAACTCCCTCGGCAAGTGGATCTACGACTGGACTGTCTTCCACTACGGCCCCGCAACCCCTCTCGCCGAGATGGCAGGCGAGCTCTGGCTCCTGCTCATCCAACTTGCCGGCAAAGTCAAGAGGGCCGACGAGACCATGCCCAAGATCCGCAAGAAGGAGAACCACGAAATGGTCGAAGACTTCCTCGAGAGTGGCGAACGCCTTTGGGTCCGCTTCGCCAAGCTCCTCAAGGTCTGCGAGGACTACATGTGGAAGGCCGCTAAGAAGGAGAGCGGCAAAGAGAAGCCTGTTTCCATGGGCAAGAACAGCGGCAAGGAGTTTGTCGAATCCATCTTCGGTCGCGACCGAGAACTAGAGAAGACCGAGAAGCTCATGACCGGAATGCGTCTCTGGTCCATGCGCTTCGATGCCAACTGCGAGGACATCCTACGATACCCATCTGCTTAGGATCTCTTACCTTTCATACCTCGACGCTTTGGCGCTGGCGTTTTCTGTCTCGGTATACCCTTTCCCTTACCGTCATTGCTTTGCGCATTATTTGATGTTACCGCGAGATACCCTTTCTTGCATTTCGTAATTGTTAATCTTGCTGCATCTTATTCGCTTTGCACGTTCACAACAATGTACAACACTACCGGGTTTTCTCACGCATTGGGCGGGTCACAGGAAAAAGTCTGCTTTCTACTATGATATCCCCCTTCTTACTCTTGTATTGTTTTTCTAGCCTACTATCGTTATTTGCTGTTTGGGTTTCGGGCACGCATGGTGTTCAGGTTGTTACTCTGGGGGTACTGGGATACCACTACACTTTGTCTTCTGGGTTAGTCCACTAGATTTGAGAGATTCTCTACGGAACATCTCTATCAGAAAGATCGGTACCTCACGGTCAAAACTAGCTATACCCACTTACCACTCTATTGCTATCTACAAATTTTATTACTTATTATCGAACCATCTACTTCCCATGTCTTCGTGCAACTGCTTCTTCCGTGACTCACAAGCCCTGTCCGCCTATCAAACCCGCATGCGTCGCATTCTCCTACACAGCCATTATCAAAGTTTCCAACGGCGGCGATCTCCAAAAGCCGCGACCCCTGCATGCCAGCCACACATGGGCAATCTGAGACACAAGTAACCCTATCGAACACCTCAGATCAGTCTCGACACATGCTTTTGCGTCTGCAACACCTGAATTTCACATGCTTTCACACACCCTCTTCTGCCTGGGTTGCCACGTTCCCAGGCTCCCAGGAGGCGCTGTCGCACTGTGAGTCGCAGACTCATCACAGTCCTTTTAGTGAATCATCACGCACGATGGTGCCTTGTTGCAGCCAACGGGCGCTTGCGCATGCACATGGCCAACTTCATTGGCTGTTTCGGGCTGTCCTCAGCCTTACCATAGAAGAAGCGCTGTGCATGGAAGCCTGCTGCAGGTTGCGTCAAAGAGGCAAGGTCATGATGTTTGCTTTTTCCGCGACCCCCATGGCCTTGAACGTGGCTTGTGAAGGCGGGAAGGATTGCCACCTATCCAATCCGACGGCCTGCAGATGAGTTCGTGCCGCCTGGCGCTGGCCCTCAAGATTGGTAGAGTGGAACGACAGCGGTTTGCTATCTTGATATCGATCCGTGCCGGGAAAAGAAATAGGGCATTGCTCACGTTTGCGTGGAGGAATGGTTGGGTTAGACATGAGTGCACAAAGTGCTATTTACGAATGCGTTGTGGGTGGTAAGGCCCAGGGCTTTGGGATGGCCGTCGCACAGTACCTACAGCTCGCGCGCATCGCATGCAACGATGACATTACAGCGAATCTACCTACCGTCCCTCCATCCAGGGTCTCTCGCGGCCATCACAACACAGTAAACCACCCCTTAATAGCGGCCACACATGCGGCTCAACGTTATCAGCCTCCTTCCCTGCCTCGCCTTCCTCATAAAGTTCCATGCCACCCCATCCCGAAGCTTAGCGCACGCGTCCCTTCCCATTTCAAGATTAAGAGGCGTCGCGTTATCCCTGGGCACGGGAACTCCTTTGATAGGCACACTCTGCCTTGATCCCCGGTTATGACACGAGTCAACGTCGCGCAAGGGCACCCTGACATGGGCTGATTAGGCAACAGTTTTGATAGAGTTGCAGGATTGGCATCATATCGCGTTTTGGGATCGACAGGCACAGAGACATTGCCCGTCGTCGGGAGGCTCGGATGGAAGGGAAGCATGGTGGGTGGCTAGTACTCCGTGTATGACAAAAGACGCGAGGTTGGGACAGGAAGGGTTCCACGGGATCTGTTGGCTAGAACCAGGGCTATCGGCTTCCACGACAGTCTCTGCTAAGTTACCGTCATTTAGCTTTTCGGTTTTGGTGGGTGTCACGAGCTGAGTGAGCGCTGTTGGGGTGCGCCGTGTTGATTGGGTGCGGCATCGCATCTTCCTTCTTTTGTGCTCAGTGCTTTCCACGGCTGAATGAGTGTGGTACTTGGATCGTTTGTGCGAATCGCTCCAACGAACGAATAGCATTGTTCTACTCCGGCGTAGCACATGCGATCGCTTTCCAGATGACCTCTGCGTCCCAGCAAACATGTCTGCTTCTGGACCTTTCTCCGTCGCGCCGGATCGCGTTCCGTCGCAACTATACGACATCATTCCGCTAAACAGGCAAGCCCATCACATCACCATGGGCGAGCACTTTGCCTGAATATCCCAATCGCGTCAATGCAATGGGTCGCGAAAACGCGAATCCGGGGTGCATGTGCATGCCTCGCAGAACACCTGATGCCTACACTATCGCTATCGTCAAACCTACCAGCAGTTCATGCAGAAGCGTGACATATACACACACAGGCCATGCCCATCGGCGAGCGACTACGGTGTTTCAAAACACGTGGCCGGTGCCATCGTGCATGAACCGGTCCCCTATTCCACGTCCCTTCGCACCCAAGCACACCCAAGCAGCAAGCGAAGCGAGTACATCAGGCAAGCCGCGGCATATGACGAATGCCAGACTAAACCCCGCCTAGACCCACCCGTCCAGTTCCTCTCCCCCTCCTGCTTATCCACTTTTGTACCCCGCTGCCACTCCGCGTGAACCGCCTTTGCCTATGTCACTGTTTCGCCTACTTCCAAGGTTTTCTTTTCACCTACCGCGTCACGGTGCCGGAGCGGAACATGAGAATCGTGATGGCGGGTAGATGGACGCGTGGTCACAAGATCGTCTATCGTCATACATCGGTCAATGCGAGATCATTCATGCCGTGCGAGCATCGAGATCGCGGCTATTGGCAAGTTTCTGACTACCATGACCGGAGCTGGCCGATGCGTCGCTTGTGTGGTACAATACGTTCACGGTGAGGGGTGTGGAGGGGTCGAAAAGTTTGAGCCAGAGACATGCCACGTCTATACCGCTCCCCTCTGGCGTTCTGCTCTCGTTACATTGACGAATGAGCGATCTGGCTATATGCATCGTGGGTGTGGTCAGCTGCGCCTTTTGGTTTGCTGGTGGGTGGCTTCGGGCTGCGAAATGGAGGATTAAGCGCTGTACCCTCAGCGTGATTGGGGTTCTTTTGAGAAATGCCGGAGAAATGCGCGCTGGGAGGCAGACTCGGATAGGCGTGTGCATACGCGCATTATTTCTTCAGCGGCACTTGCACTGAGAAACACTAACCGCCGGTCTAAGTGCAGGTGACAAGCAGGTATGATGTAACCTTAGGTCGCAAACGTGAGTTCCAAGGACGACTGTGAACCTGGCGGGTACACCGCGAAGTACCCCCACGGCCAACGTAGCAACACCAAAACAATCTCGATCCGAAGCGCAACCTCCCGCCAGACCAGGACAGCGATATCCCTTCCAACTCCCACGTGCCCTCGCCAGCGTCACCAATCCCTCACTGCGCATAAGCGCCCGCAACACCACCCCTCCATGCATCCAATACCCCTCCAACACCCATTCCATTCCCATCACCCTGCCGCAAGGCACTGTCAAAATAGTCCTTTGTCCATACCAAACAACCCCTCCATTGTATAGGCTTACTGTGCGTCACAGACCGTCCCTTATCAGGTACTATCTTTGCTATTCCTGGGCCGTGAACTGCATGCACTGCGCATGCGAACACCCTTCTAGCGCGCCGACTGTTTGTTTCTATTTCAGTCGTCACATGCGAGCGGGGTAAAGGACGAGGCTGCATTCCCGGCTTATGTGATGAATGTATTGTATTGAACTAACCGGATGGAGATCGATAGCGATGCAAGGGGGAGAGGTGTGGTTACACGACAGGCAGTGGGAAATAGTGTAGTCAGCACTATCTCTAGGTGTTAACCTAGGTGAATAGAGACAGGGCATCAAACAACAGATGTTCTGAATGGTTCGCAAATGCAATGCCTTCAATGTATTCCACAATGTGCTCACCATGCGAGAGCTAATCGAGTACCTATCACAGCGACCTCATCGCCCTTTGGACAGAACAGTTTGCCAGACTCAACCAACCGAAGTAAAGGCAAAGATTCTTCATTGAGCCAATGGCGCGGCAACATGAAGTGTTTCTTAACCATACCCGCGTTTTCCGCATTCTGCGTGTGCTTTGAGGGCGATACAGCCCCTGAAGTTGCTGGCTTGTCTTTTGCGTAAACAGATCCAATCTTCCAGGTACAGATCCAGAAATCTTGATCAAGGAAGACGAATCTATCTTTTGCTAGCACGCCGAGCGTGACTTCGACTAGCTTTGAGACTTCTTTTGGGATATAGCGGATAGCTGTTTTCGGGATTGATAGGATCGCCACTTCATTCCCTCCTAGCTTGGGGACTGAATCGAGTTCCGAAACTCTTAGCATCATGTGGGATTTAGAGCCTGACTTCAGCATTCTTTCCACGACTATGTGAGATCGATCTTGAGCTAGCCGTACATTTACGGTCTGGCAGCTTGACTGTGAAGTCGCGTTTGCTTCGTTTTGATCATCCTTTCTCATAGTTATGGCGTCTAATGGCTGACGAGTTATATTTGCGACATTTCCGTCATCGTAACGTATGAGTTCGGTTGCTTCTAGGGTGGTCCAGGAAAAGCGTCGAATACCAAAGTGGTTGAATACCAGTAAATATTGCGAGTCTCTCGGATCGTTGATCCAACGCTGGGCTGTGTCGCTACTTCCATGGTACTGACAGCTCAATTTCTTCTCTTCTAGTGACAAGACTTGTACGCCGTGCTGTCTCACTAGAAGAAGAAAAGTTCCATCGGGGCTGAATAGCACTTGTTGAGCAGTACCCAACTGCGATGACATGCTGAGATTAAGGATCGGTTGTACATTCCATCGCTTCGGATCGTCGGTGACGGCTGGTGGAAACACGTGCTTCACGCTGATATCCCCACCCAATTCCGCAATAGCAAGACGCTCACCACTGTCGTCCCAGGCCAACAAGTCTATCATCATATATCGAGGGGAACTTGACACATTTAACACCTTTGTGCCTTCTGCGTTGAAGAGATAAACTTCTCCAACCTCGTTCCCAGCACAGAAGTATTTGCTGTGTAAGGTAACGGCCAAAGCTGTGATTTGGTCTTCTTGTCCGACGATCTGGATGGAGTCGTTCAAGGTAGAGATATCGCTCTGCGTCTCCCATTGATCCTCGGACTGGTCACCCGTTTCTTGCAAGTCGGCGAGTGCCGCCGGCTCCCAGGCGGTGCACACAGCATCGCGTATCTCGTAAAATCGACGAGAGTCGGGACTGAAGGCGAGAGCTCTTGGGGTAGTGTCGCACCTCAGCTGATATAGTAGAGCAAAGCTTTGGAAGTTGAAAAGGCGAATCACTCCGTTGTTGTCGCATGTCGCAAATGATAGACCGTCTGAGCTACATTGGATCAAACTAGCAGTTGTGCGTAGTTCGTCGTTTGTCTGTTCGTATGGGTCCCATTTGAATACGCATCCATCGTTGTACTTTCCGAGGATGTTTCCATAGCGTGCATTCCAAGATACTGTGTCTACTCCCGGCCATATTGTCTCGTTGAAACCTCTTCCTTCAACGTGACGGGAGTTTCTGCCAATTACTTGGCATTCTTCGACTGACCATACGGATAGTGGGAACCCACGATAAGCAACTGCGATTTGGGTACCATCGGGATTGAAGACCATGGAGCAGGGTGAGTTGGCGTTACCAAGACCGGCGACATCGGATTCTTGTAAGGAACCCAATAGCTGCCATTCTGGATCTTGAGAGCCCAATGCCAGCATTTGAATCGTCTTGTTTTCGCACGCGGCCAATACTTTCGTTTTGTCTTCGCTGAATGTGACACCCAAGACTGTGGTTTCGCTGGGACTAGTGGTGGTGAGGATGAGACGGCCAGATGGGACTTCCCAGATGTTAATACGCAACACTCCACACGAGAGGTATCTTGTTCCGGTGGAGTCAAAACAGCATGCTGTGATGTACTCCCCTTGAACGAGGGTCAGCCTCCTTTCGAAGTTGACCGCACTCCAGATCAGCGTCACCCCGTGAGATTGGTGGTCTGTAGCGACAGCGGCGACATGACTTCGAGAGCATATCAATCTCGACAGCCGAAAGCTTCTTACTGACATATGCGCGACAGAGTCATCCCATCTCTCGTTTGAGACACCCGAGACTGATATATAGCGAAAGGTCTTCTGCTTTGTAAACTGACAGTGAACCATCGAGCTTCGAGGGCAAAGCTCTGGGATGAAGTTGTGAATGGATGCGGGATCATACAATAGGGCAGAGCCAAACTTCCCAGCGATCTTGGTGAGGTCGATAGCCCAAAGTCGAAGTAGATCTCGCTGATCTTCGTCGAGACCAGCTTCGTATTTTGAGCTTTTTTTGCTGCTGATCAGCTCTGTCAGCGTCCGCGAAGCATACACAAGAACTTTAAGCTGCTGCAAAGACGCGAGAATACGAATCCAAGTAAGCACGTGAGATCTTCGTAGAAATTGTACCAGAGTTGACAAGGCTGCGGAGTCGATGCGTGTTGCAAGGCCTAGATGAAAGGACCAAGAAGTTGCCGCATAGTTGACAAAGTTGCGTTTGAGTTCTGCGTTGGTCTGGTTGAGTTTGCTGCGAACACCAGTGTCCATAAGAGAAGCCATACAGTGACGAAAAGACTCTAGGTGGGTCTGCTCAGCATCGATGTATAGATCCAGCTCAGGCGTGTGTGTGAGATAATCGCGCGCGGTCTGATGTATCATCGTAACATTTTCGCTCATATCCACAACGACAAAGAAGCCACAAGTGGCAGTGATGGTGCTGCGCAGGTCGAGTATCCTGTTGAAAGACGGGCGGAGCGCTTCTTCTAGCTCCTTTAGGGTGAGCGCTCGCCGAGAGAACATCGCCCATGTGAGTATCCGCCGTGCAAGTTGCTTGTCGGTTGAACCCATGTCTTTAGCTACCACAGAAGCCATGCGATGATACATAGCTTCCATACCAATAGGCATATTCCCAAGTGCTTCTCTGATGTCATCAGTGGTGTGACGTTTGAGTGCCTCTTTGATGGCCAGATGCACCCAGAGGAAATTGCCTTCCGCGCGTTGTAAGATCATGTCAGTGACTTCCTTTTTGAAGCCTTCGTCCCATCTCGGTAAAGCCATTCGGCTTTCAACGTAGGCTTGGACATCTTGCTGGGACTTGTGTGTTATTGGAAGGGTTTCGACTGGTATCGACTTTCCCAGCTGGTCGAACTCAGAACGCAACTCCGTGGTCTCACGGCTCACTACCAATAACTTGATTGGTATCACTGAGTTCTGCAGGCCGTTGAGCAGACCCAGTAGTAATTCAGGTGAGTCGGCTTCATCCAAAGCGTCTATAACCCAATACAGAGGTGCTGTTTGTCGTAATGTCAGGAGTGCGGTAACAAATAGTCGGTTCCAAACAGTTCTGGCATCAGTCTTCTCTAGACGTAGCCCGTCTTCTGATAGATCTCGCATGCGTCTCCGGTATTGAGGTATCTCTCCAGACAGCTGAAAAGCCATGGACCGAAGACAGCCGTTTATTGATCGCTTGGATTGATCGCCAAACCGGAAGAAGTAAAATTGACAAGTTTGCCCTCTCAGCTTGACCTGATCAATGATGAACGACGAAAGTACGGATTTCCCACTACCCGGCCGCGCGTGCAGCCAAAGAATCGAGCTCTGAGTAGTATCATCCATCCAAGTCTGGAATGAACTCTCCTGAAGTATCCAATCACAGGTACCTGGCATCCATTGGTCGTGAAAGAAGTTGAAATCATCGTAGGGAAGGTTCTGTATAGAGAGGAGAGCTTCAACGGCTTCTGATGCGTCTGAAGAAGCCGAAGAAGACCTTCTGAAGCTTATGCCGATAGCTCGCACACGGTCTACCAAGGTTTTCAGAACATCTCGCATACTAATGTAGTTTGCATCACTTGGGCTGTAGTACTTGCAGACGTCGTGGTGGTCGGCATTCATGGCTCTCGAAATTTCTCCCGGATATCCCAAGATAGCCGATTCCTTCTCCAGGATTCTAACCTTTTTGGGACCGACAGGAGTATCAAGAGTCTCATAGAAGGAGACTATGTGAAGCTTCGGAGCAAATTTGCGAAATTGCTCATTGATGTCCTCTAATGCCGGCGAGTTTTTCTGCAAGTCTGCAACATACTGCTTGGGGGAGAACCTGAGAAGAGAGGCTGAGAGCACGCGGTTGAGTAGCTCGGCCATGTTAGAGCCGCGGTGTGGGGTTGACAAGAAGATGATAGCGTTGATCGACTTGACAATTTCAGAGTACTCGTCATCGCTCTGACCCAGGATGTAAGCTTTTTTGACCACGAGACCTCCCATTGAGTGAACGATGAAGATGATTGGGACATCTCCTAGTCCCAGATCCTCCAAATCCCTGTTCTCGTCTTTCGTGAACTTCATCGCAAACAACAGCTCTTTCGCGAAATCTGTGATGTTGAGCACCGTACGTGACGAAGTTGACTTCCAGTCTGCATCGTATCCAAATGATAAAATCCGCGCAGAACCAATGGCGGGCTCGCTAGGAAGCCAGAGATGAGGCCAGAAATAGTTTGGGTCATGGTTTTTGGACCAGGTAGAATGGCTCGATCCGCCCAAGCCATGAATGAGGACAATATCCAACGAATGTCCTCCCTCGGGTTCGTGGATTACGGTAAGTCCCAAAGGGTTCATGCGCCTGTGTGCAGATTGCGATTTGTCATGAGGCTCATTCGACACACTCATGGAGGCGAAATTCGATGTGACGCTTTGAAAGCTACCTGAACGACGCTCAATCGTTGATGAGCTTGGCGGTGGGCTCAGTTGGCTACTGAGGCGTCGCTCAGTATCGATCGGGGTTATAGTGCTAGCCTCGTTGCTGCTCTGGAGGCGTCCCCGACCAATTAGATCAGGGGATACGTTCCTTCTGCCTTGATCAGGAAGGCCAGGGTGCCCATGTTTTACAATGCCCTTCTCAACGGGTGTGAGCTCCTGAGCGCCAGCGGTCGTGAACGGAGAAACTGAAGTCCCTTCGCGATCCAAATCTTGGTCAGGATGGGCAACTTCGGCATTTGGAGCATACTTTGCAGCCGGCTTCACATTGGCGATCAGTTCAGCTTGAGCACGACCTTTGTACTTGCTGCTAAATCTCTTTCGTAGCTAAAGCAGATTGATCAGCCTCTGTCGCAACACCGTTACGATAACTTTGACTTACTCGATCCATAGTTGGAGCTTGTATGAGCCACACATCCGTTCTGTGTTGTGTTCTGGAGGCTGGAGATGCGCACAACCAAGGCCTCGGTCAAGCAGGCTGAACAAGCGACGTAATCAAGCATGCTACGACGATCAATCAGCTAATGGTAGGCATGCAAGTCCCACTAAAGACAATGCAGTTACTGTGAGGGAGACTCCGGCCATCTGCCGGTTTCGTCGATCTGTTCGTAGTACGCTGGGCGGGAAGAATCCCACCAATTACCAACCGTGTGAGGACCCTGTCTTTATGTGTAGCACAAGTAAGGGAAGGAACAGCGAAGTGCATTCGTTATCATCTGATGATGCAATACGGGTCGATGACCCCGCCCCAGTGACCAATGATACAATGTTTGCTGCAAGACGGAGTTGGCCTCTATGCGGCACGGTCGGCTAAGCGATACACGAACTGTGCCCAATATATTATAGCGAATAGTATGTCTCGTTAGCCGCTCACCGGAAGTACCACTGTTACGGATAATTGCACCGAATAGACACGTGCGTATTGCCGATGATGGTAGCTGATTTGCTTGTATGACAAGAAGTTTTGCATTTAGTCTCAGGCAGATGATCGCAAGAGCTACACCTTACTTCTAAACGAACATGTCGAACTTAGTGCGGCCCGAGAAGAGAGACGTCTCGAGCGCTGGTATTGAGGGCGACTTTCCTCTAGATGTGGGTGTAGTCGAAGGTGAGTTCTTGTGGCACGAACATCCTGCTAAGAGCTCACACCCTTGTGTACAGCTCTACCAGAAGGTAGCCAGGTTCTATCAGCGAACAATTATGGCTCCTCCGCGTGGACAGTCACGGCTCGTCTGAACGTTTTGCTTCCAAATGGATTGGAGAAGAAGTTTTTCATCAAAATTGCGACTGGAGAACCTGGCCATGTGATGATGAGGGGAGAGTTCAACGCCATGAGCGCTCTTTACCGGACTTGCCCAGGGTTCATCCCGAAACCTCTGACATGGGGCAAATTCAAAGAAGCGCCAGAGACATACTTCTTCCTGTTGGACTTTGTAAACATGACAAATGACTTGCCGGATCCTGTCCAGTTTTGTGCCAAGCTCGCAGACCTCCACAGGTCGAGTGAATCACCGACTGGAATGTTTGGCTTCCACGTCCCGACCTGTCATGGCAGATTTGCCCAAGATGTGGCTTGGGATCCGAGTTGGCCGAACTTCTTCACCAAGCTGCTCCGAGCTGCTCTCGTGATCGAAAATAAGGAATGCAGCCCATGGCCAGAGTTCGAGACAATTGCGGAGCGTACAATGTCTCATGTCATTCCGAGGCTTCTGGGGGCGCTCGAAGAGAATGGTCGTAAGCTCAAACCATCACTCATTCACGGAGTCCTATGGGAAGGTAACATTGGAACGGACCTTTCGAACGGCAACGTCTACGTCTTCGATTCTGGCGCATACTATGCCCACCATGAAATGGAGCTAGCTATGTGGCGATGCGAAAGGCACAAGATCAAATCTCGAGAATACAAGCGGCAGTACCTCCGCAACATGGCTGTGAGTGAGCCAGCGGAAGAGTTTGATGACCGCAATCGTTTGTATTGTGTAAAGGCGAACGTTATCCATTCCGCGCATCATCCTGGATCTATCGTCAGAGAAACGTGAGTCGCAGTTTTGACGGTTGAATGCAAGAAGTCCACTCACATGTTTGTAGGGCTTATAATGACATGTGCTATCTGGTTGATAAGTACGCGCCATACCCGCACGGAGAAGAGCCTTCACGGAGTAAAGTGCAGGGCGAAGTCCCTGCGACGATATGGCAGGGAGGGGACAGTCACGCCAGGTCAGCTCATGCCTTCAATATTGAAGCAACTCCCACTCTGTCGGCCTAGAGTTGAGATACATTTAGAGTCCCGCAATAGAACATCAGATCCATTGCAGTAACACAATTTCTAACACCGTTGTGACTGGCTTTGTCTCTTTTGTCTCCAGCCTCGTCCGGAGTGCTGTAGTAGAAATGCCATGGGTACTGACAATAGAGTGACGCCTGTCAATAAGGTGAAAGTCCATCCAGTTCCCAGATTCGAAATCATGACATCCAGAGCTGCTAGAGCTGAGGCAGCAAGTAGGCAACGAAATAGGTTAGCAGCTGCACTGGCTGTTGCGGGTCGGATCGGATTGACATCGACGAGTAGAGTACCGCACGCCTGAATTCGTCAGAATTCCATTCAATAAGATGTAGAACATAGCATAGCGAGAGTCAATACGTACGTTGAAAACGCCAGTGATCGAGGCACCGATGAAGAACTGGAGAACTAGAGGTAGCGCGAAATGCTAGTGGCAACTTAGTAACCCTATCCTCAAATGACAGGATGAAAACGAAGCCCTACCGTATGTCTGTCCAAAGCCCATCCGTATCCAATTGTTGTTACAGCTGCAGCACCCATATAGAAGTAGGTGGCACGCAGACGAGCCTTCTCTATAGGAAAGTTAAGAAGATCGTCGCCACGAGTCCGATCGATTGCGAAACCTGAGCGAGAAGCGACTCTGCGGTACTCCCAATTCATGACATACCCTGTTTTTTATCAGTCATTGGTTTGTGTGTACATCATGTATGGCCTACCGCAAGTGTAGGAAGCTAAAGCGCAGCCAATTCCAAACGGGATGTATATCAAGCCAGCGTATAGTTCCTCAAAGCCGTATATCGTTATAAAAAGGGTAGAGAGTGATGCCTGAACACAGCAGTACGTCATGTAAAACAAGCCATTGATGAGCATGATCAATGCATTCTCTTTTTGCCAGAGTGCTTTGAAACAAGGCTTGAGACTGGGCATTCGCATTCGCTGAACGTTGGCCCCACCCTCAGAGCTTGTTGTTGATGGTTTGTTCGCATTGAGCTTTATATGCGCCAAATAGGATCTGTTCAGGAGGCGGGTAGGCATGATTGATCCGTTTCCGACGATGTTCCGAGCGGTTTCTGGTAGCGTAACGGCGAGGATACAGAAGTTGATGCTAGATAGTATCGCGAGCGTCCAAAATATCCAAGGCCACCCGGCATATTGCACCAATATGCCTCCCAAGACAGGACCGAGACTGGGTGCTACATTCGGCCTAGGGCAAATGGTTAGGGCAGTATCGCCATTACTCGTACGTGGTCATAGCATACCCTAATAGAACTGCTCCGATAAATCCGCCTCGTTCAGCAGGTGTGGCAATATCACTGACGACAGCGTAGCCAAATGAGATCGTACCTGAAGGGCGCATAGGTCAGCGAGTACGGTAACCCGAACACGTATCCGTGAACTCACCACTCGAGCCAGCACTTTGCAGCATTCTCAGTACAAGCAATGCTGGATAAGACCTTTGTATGGCCAAACCCACATTGGCAATTGTGTACGTTAGTATGGCAAATAGAAACAGTGGTCGACGACCCAGGGTGTCAGCCATGTCACCCAGTATGGAAGGCGCTATCCCAGATACAAGCATGTAGGTCGTGATTGATAGGTTGGCCATCGTAAGTGTGATATTCAGATCTTGTGCGAGATTGAACAATGCTGGGTAGTAAATGAAGCTGCTGAGAGGAGAGAAAAGTCCCGCATATGCGACAAGGAAGACAATCCAACGCTTTTCGGCGCGAGTGAAGATGGAATACAGTGGTGTGTCCGGTGATTGCTCCTGCTCCGGAGCGCGAGCGACGACTGCGGCCTTCTTGCTCATAACGGGGGTGTTTGGTACAGTAGCCATAGCGTTTGTGATGGTAGAAGGTTAAGACCACAGACAAAGAAGGTCGAGTGCTTGCCAATGCAGGCAGGGATAGACCGATTGGTGGCGACGTGCTGCAGATGGCTGGTCATCGTCTTGTCCAGTAACAAGCCGGTATTTGATGTGACCCATATACCCGGAGCTATCCCTAGTTTGACAAAACATTGAGTGGTCGTGTGGCCGCATTGCTGCTGTGGCACAGTTCAGCGGTGCTGGCTTCATCGGGCTTGCTCTGCAGGTCAACATAGAGAATGCGACACAACAAGAGCCTATCTGAGCCGTCCCCATCATCAGCAGTCTATATTCCGTGAGTTCAGTATACTCTATCATCCACGTGATATGCCATGGTGTCAAGATATCTAGGTATCAGTACTCTCAAGGTGTGTGCTTGAAGGAAGAGCTGTTGTCTCGGGCTGTGGCCACCCCAGCTACCCCACTCAGTGCACGCCCTAGCGCGCATCGCCGGCGTGCACCCTCGCAACTTCGCAATGGCCTTGGGAAGGGAGCATGCTTGCATTTATCGACAAACTGAATGCAAAATACCAGTGCTAGAGTGCCCGTTAGACTACAGGTTACTACCAAATAGAAAACACAACTTTTACTTTGCAGCGACGGTAGGAAATAACGATAAAACGATGTTCCTCGAAAATGCTACAGATAAAGAGGAAGACCTGGATCAATTTTGCTTATTAGGGTAGAGTGCACCCTATACTAGGTGCCTGAGTCAAATTTATTGGTTGCTTCTGCAGTAAATTTGGGATCCGGCAGCTTTGTGCCAGTGTATAAGCTGGTCACCATACTAAGTAGTGCGACCAGAAACAATCCGAAGTCAGAAGAAGCGACGCAAGAGCGTGTACTTGAGACATGAGGAATAGTAACATAGAACATGTCTTATTATAGATGTTCGTATCAGATTGTGTACGCTACGCGACGATCATATCAGGAAAGGAGCGGCATGTACGTATACGTTAATACCATTAGCTATACTCACATATAGCCAGTCGCTGCTAAGCGTGACTTTTCTTACTATCATCTATGAATCATGACTTTCATCCAACCCTCCTATCTATTAATCCCAGCAGTGCGTTATCTCATGTCGAACACACATAGCAATGAGAAGATGATACCTCCGAGTAAGACTGTGTAGCCACACCCCAGAGACACCATTGGCCCGTCTTTCTGACAGCACATTCACGAATCCAGTGATCATGCAGCACTATCCCTCAACCTCTGCTGTTCCTCCTCAGTAAGCTGTCCAAACTCCTCCGCAAAACCCTGCGTAGTCGCCGCGCGCTTGAAGAAATCCACCAGGAAACCCTGCGTCTCGTCGTCGCGCTGACGACCACCACCCGGCTCTTCAGCAGCAAAAGCCATGAGCTGCTCTTTGCTGAAGCCACTGCCGAGGTCCATGAAAGGGTTCGCCTCGTCCTCCCATTCGCCGTCATCAGATTCTTCTTCGGCGAGCTCAGCAGCTGCTTGTGCGTCGAGGGGTGCGCCAGAGGCAGATTGGAGTTCGACGACGAGGACTTTGAGGATCTTGAGGGGTGCGGGTACTATGGTATACTTGTCAGGATCTGAATTCGTGTGTCAGTTTGTGGATGGACGTAAGAGGAGTTTATCGCACTGGTTCGCGACAACGACACTACGCCTACAAATTTGCTCCACAACATGACAATTACTGCGTTCAGTGGCAAAGACAGGGAGGTAGATGTGAAAAGAGAAGACTTACTAGCTTTGGCGCGACTCCTGGTCATGATGCGGCCATCAGTATTCGGTATCAAGTCACCCTGCACTTGCACCTGCGCAAGACGAGGGTCCTTCAAATCGTACAGTTTCGAAAGAGCGATGACACTGCGAACCAAAGTCAGCAATTATGCACAGTCATCGAGCAAACATAAAAGGAGGAAGGGGGAGTTCAACTTATTCCGAACGATCTCAAGCCTTCCAACAGGCTTTCTCCGTTCGTAAGAGAACTGCTCGATTTCCGGAGAGGTTCGTACGTACTTTTGTCGGATCTCGTCGTAGCCCGCGAAGTTGATGGAGTTTTCGAGCCATTTGGCTAGCACAACCTGAAGCCCGTTTTGACCCTCGATGTCCTGGCCAGCCAAGAAGTCTACAACCTCTGAGGCATGGTTCAAGCTTAGACGCGCGAATACGAGCGTCAGACTTTGGATGAACTGTGCTTGTGTTGCTTGGCCTAGACGGACAGCGACACTTCGTAGGAGTTGCTCTAGGTAAGGTCCAAGTCGTTCGTGGCCGGCCTTCTCTACTACCTCTGCGGCAAGCGCACCGACTTCGCCAGCAGCATGGTCGCTGCATGAAGACAACAAACGTGAGACGATGATGAGAGTTACCTCCAGACCTGCTTTTCCGGTGTCATCTCGCCATTCGAAGAGCTGTTGGTGGTCGTGCGAGATGATGTTCTTCACGGCAGTCGTGGCAGACTTCAGCAGCTCCTCATCGGCAGAGCCTAGCAGGACTCTTGTGAGCTTTGGCATCGTTGTAGCGACAAAGCCAGCGGGGAGCGGCTCTGGTCCGTGCTCAGCCATGACAGCCAGAAGATCAGCAGCAAAGTTGCATAAAGCATTCTCCTCGGTCAAGCTTCCAACATCAAAGGCACCCATAAGTGATGGAAGCACCCTTGCGCACAATTGAACGTACGCATCCCCGCCCATTCGCGCAATAGTCTCCGTCACCTCTTCGAAGGCCTCGGTGACTAGCATGGTGAGTTGGAAGTTGTTAGCTTGATGACTAGCAATTCGGAAGAGTGTGTCGAGACCGTTGTCTGTGATGCATATCCGCGTATCAATAAGTATGGCGTCTCGGAGTGTTTCGACGAGAGTGACCATAAGATCTTCACTGTCGCTGAGCTCTGACATATCTTGTGCAGCCAGGTAATTGCTGATGGCCATGATGATAGGTGCTTGCATGGGCTGTGTAGTCGCAGGTGGGAGCGCTTGGAGATAGTATTGCAGAGCCCGGATACATGACACTTGGACAACGTCGGACTCGTCAGATGGAATAGCCTGGAGCGATGCCTCGAGGAAGGATGTGCCGAGCTGTTGCAGAGCGCCTCCGGATGTCCTTGTCAAACTTCCAGCGACAAGGTAACCGCGTGCTCTCAGGAAGG